ACAAAGAGATGTCGACTGTGTTCTGAATGTTATTGTTGCTACCCCAGCCGAATTGTGTTGTTGCTTTAATCCAAAATGCAATCATTGAAATGCATTTTATTTAAGCTCCACTCGCTTATTGCATTTTTGCATATACATTTTTTTTGGAAAGGGGTGAAGGTAGGGTGAAAAGTGGAAGCCCCAAGCGACTTATTTTTATATGCTTACAACTATTGGGATTGGATCTTCTCTGGAAGCAAATTCTGGCCATCCTGACCCGTGTGTGTGTGTATTCGCAAATTCAATGACAGTTTGTGCCTTTTGCAACTTTCAGTTGATTTTTTATTGTCAATCGAACAATAACGAAATCATCGGCCAAGTTACGCCAAACGCCACAGCAGACTTCGATTTTGAGATGGTAAGGGGAGTTCGGGATGGGAATGTGAGTGTGACGGTGACAGTGACTCAGCACGGCGAAAACTTTAAGGTAGGCAGCCTCAGAACGGAATTTCTGTCAGAAGTCGAGAGCGTGCCACACCCCATCGGTGGAGATTTATATGCCCAGGCGATGTGACTCAATCAATGGCATTTGTGTTGTGCCAGCAGCAAAGGCAGCATCAGCAGGAGGAACCAGGAGAGCCAGGAGAACACGGAGAACCCGGGGATTGGGAACACGAACGTCGAGCTGACTGGGGGGCAAATGGATCGCCTTCCCGGGGAGCGCCGGTGGCAGGACATCAGACAGTCGGAGAGACATGCACAGCATTTTGTGTAAAGAAATCAAAAATTTATACAAACTTTGCACAATGAATGAGCAGCAACAAAGGAGGCGGAGGAGCAGCTCTACCAGTAACAGTACCAGTTCCAGTTCCAGGAGAAGGAGCAGGAGAAGGAGAAGGAGCAGCAGAAGGAGCCGGAGGACGAGTGTGTCCTACTGTCCTGCCAGGACAGCAATTGCCGAAAATTGTTGCAGTTCGCCTCGCTCGCTTCTTGACAAAGGCAACAACATAAAATGGAACATACATACACTTTCCAAAAATATCTGGTAATTTGAGAGGAAATATGAGATTTTCAAAGATATTAAAATAAATCTAAATTTTTACAATTTTTAAAAATTATGATTATTAAGCTTTTGAAATGTATGTCCTTAAAGGACTTAATTTATTCCTTCAAAGTCGCTCTATTTCACGATTAAAATGGTTAGAAAGCTCAATAAAATGAGTAAGAAAATGTAAAAAAAAAAAAATAGATCGACATGATTTTGCTATTCCAAGGACCAAAACTGCACTTCTAATTTTCATAACTTTGTAATTTTATCCCTATTTAGACGTGGGATACCTCTATGAGTTTGTGGTTAATTCCTATCATTCTGCATTCAAATATTTCTTTTAAAAGGAGGTCAAATTTTGACCCATTTTTATGTTCGAATTTTATGTAATTCCAATGGGTTTAGAATGGGGACCCAAAATTGCACTTCTAAATTTCATAACTTAAGTAATTGGATCCCGATTTAGACGTGGGATACCTCTATGAATTTGTGGTTAAATTCCAATTATTCTACATTCAAATACTTATTTTAAAAGGAGGTCCAAGTTTTGACCCATTTTCATGTTCGAATTTTACGTAATTCCAATGGGTTTCAGAATGGGGACCCAAAATTGCACTTCTAAATTTCATAGCTTAAGTAATTTGATCCCGATTTATACGTGGATACCTCTATGAATTTGTGGCTGAATTCCTTATTATTCTACATTCAAATATTTCTTTTAAAAGGAGGTCCAAATTTTGATCCATTTTCATGTTCGAATTTTACTTAATTCCAATGGGATTGGAATGGGACCCAAAACTGCACTTCTAATTTTCATAACTTTGGTAATTTTATCCCGATTTAGACGTGGGATACCTCTATGAGTTTGTGGTTGAATTCCCTATTGTTCTACATTCAAATATTTCTTTTAAAAGGGGTCAAAATTTTGACCCATTTTCATGTTCGAATTTTACTTAATTCCAATGGGTTTCAGAATGGGGACTTAAAACTGCACTTCTAATTTCATAACTTGGTAATTTATCCCGATTTAGACGTGGGATACCTCTATGAATTTGTGGTTGAATTACCTATTATTCTACATTCAAATATTTCTTTTAAAAGGAGGTCCAAATTTCGACCCATTTTCATGTTCGAATTTTACGTAATTCCAATGGGTTTCAGAATGGGGACCCTAAATGTCACTTCTAATTTCATAACTTAAGTAATTGGATCCCGATTTATACGTGGGATACCTCTATGAGTTTGTGTTTGAATTCTGATACTTTTACGTCCAAATGTTTCTATAAAACGACGGTCAAATTTTGACCCATTTTCATGTTCGATTTTTCCTTATTTCAAGGGCTTTCAGTATCTAACCCAAAACCGCACTTCTAATTTTCATGGCTTGGGTAATTTATCCCGATTTAGACGTGGGATACCTCTATGAGTTTGTGCTTGAATTTTCTAATATTCTACATCAAAATATTTACTTTATACGAGGGTCAAAAATTTGACCCATTTTCATGTAATAATATTAAAATTGAATTGGTTTTTCCTCAAATATTAATAAACAAAATTTATTTCATATTCTAAATACATTAAGTATCCTTTTTCCTCTAAATACTTTTTTCATTAAAAATTAAACAATCTTATAATTCAATTAATTAATTTAAAAATTTTTAATGTGATTTTTTAAGAAAAAAGCTTTAAAGGGCATGAATTCTGGTTTGGTTCCGATTAAACTAAATTCCTTATTTAATTTTAGGAATTGTTTAAATTAAATGTAAAGTAATGGATTATTTCCCCAAGTGTGGTCACTCGCAGGGCAGCCTGACTTGCAAGTTGCAGCAACAAAAGTGAGGGCAAGGACAGCCCGGCACCGGACAAAACAGCTCCAGGATGTGTGTTGGTAGGTATTCCTACATACAGTAAGGTACATATAGATGGTTGGGTTATTCGGTGAGTCGGGGGCCAGTGCAGACGAATTAATTAAAAATTCCGAAAATATCCGGTTAGCTCTTTATAACAATTTCGTGCACAATGCCGAACTCCAGCTGCATTCGACAAAAAGTCGTTCGCCCACCTTTGTGTGTAAAATGGTGTGTACGGTGTGTGTGCATCCTGGCCAAGGAACTTTAACTCGGTAGAAATTTGAAACTTGCCATGCTGATGTGCTCCCAGGCGCCTCAAGATGGCTTCATCTATCTGGCCGACAGCCATTCAAACTATTTTCGTTTCGGCCGTTTACCAGGCAATCTACATAAATGAATTCATTTGCCTTTCACACACATTTATGTATATGCATATATGCACAATAGAATGCAGAGTGTACAGGTCGTATACGCAATATTTGATATTTATGCTCTAATTGAGGGTACAACCCGGACCTGAACTTGGCTTAAAGTCATGTTTGTTCACAGAAATAATTGCTGCTGCCAAAAAAAGAGGGGAAGCTATGTCGGCATCGAAAATATAAGAGGAAAATCATTTTTAGAACAAAGTAAAAGCGGAAAAGGCATTCCCTGTGCCTGCGGTTCAATCGGTCGTTTCGAACCGGCCATTTGGCAATAAAAAGTGACCGGAATGCTCGTTAAAACTAAAAACAATTGACCACATAAATTAGCGGCATTAAAATACCACCGAAAAGGAGGATGCCCGAAAAAAGGGCCCAAAGGCCGGAAGGAAGTGCGAACGATTGATTCGATTAATTGCCAAATTAAAAAGGGAGAATGGAGAATTTCATTCGCAAAAAGGAAGTGCACAAAGCAAAGGAAAGGCAGGAAAAGAAAGGGAATGTTATGACAATGTTAGAAAACCAAAAAATAATAAATGAAGGGCGGCAACCGATCTGGGCTGACACAAAGTGACAGGCGCCGGGGGCCTCACTGGCACAATTGAATTTATTATGGCATTTCAACTGGGCGAGAGCGTCAATTGAATGAAAGTGGACCAGAGAACACCCACCCACCCATCGACCTTCCGCCCCTCACACACACACACACACATATATATAGAGGGAGAAAGCCGGAGAAAGCTCTGTTGCAATAGCATCATTATTGGACTAAACCGAAACTATTTGCCTCAATGGGCCACAAAGCGCCACACGACACGCCAAAGGACTCAGGACCGGAGAATCGAAAACACAGAGAAAGAGGGAGAAAGACACAGACAGGCAGGACTGCTGCAGAAAGGACATGGACGAACCCACATCGCCACTGAGATAGTCCAATGCCCTCGGGGTATATTTTTCGCCACTTTCGCTACGGCCAAAAGTGTTGACTGTCTTTGATTTTGTTTGTCTGCCTGTTTGGCTGAATGGCTGGCTGGCTGGCTGTCTGTCTGGCTGGCCAACTTTCAGCCTCATCGTTGCCCCGGGGGAAAGGGCTAACACCAGCAATTACACACAGTTTTGTCAATCGAGGCAAAGTTCAGAGGACGGCGCATAATCAGCAAATGAATCATAAACCAGATGGCCGATTTGCTCATTACACTTTGTAAGCTTGAACCCGTTGTAATTACACAATAAGAAAATGTTGCGTTAAATAAAACAATGCAACAGATTTACAAATAATTAGGAATTTATGAAAGTGGTTAAGTATTCCAATATATTTTAAAATCTTCAGAAATGCAGTAGGTGCTTTAGGTTGACTAACTCGCTTATCTACAATCTTATAACTACAATTATCTAAAAATAATACATCTATATTCTATAATATATTGTTATGTGCATAAAATGTATCATACATTTAGGTACTTAAAGTCATTATTGTTAAATCAATTTGGTAGATAAATCTGAAATAAATCAATTATAAATTCAGATATAAGAATCTTTATTTTGTTAGTTAATAAAGATTATTGTATGCGTTCCAATTTCTATGCATTTATTTTAAAAAATAATGTAAAAATAGGTAATTCAATGTAGCAGATAAATCTTAAATAAATAATTTGATTATTTATTTAGTTCTGAAAATAGCATTTACATTTTTTTCACGAACTTTTTTTCATTTTTAGTAAAACCTTTTGTTTTGTGTAGTTTAGAGCCCGTTAGCAAACGCATTGTGGCTACAAACAAATTACAAAATCGGCTAAACTTAAGCCGCCGTGTTGCGTGCAGTTTATGACTGAAGCGCTGCCTGCGGATGCGCTGAAATCCCGGCCACTGCAATTGGCTTTTCCCAACCGCACTCACGTGCAGCATGCCACACACACACGGGGTCACACATTCGGAAGGGGGGGCGGAAGGGGAAGCCCCACGCCACCCGTCTATCGGCCAAAACAAAGTTAAATCGGCCAAATCCTTTGACCATGTCACACTTTTATACATAATCGTTCGTCGAGCACGTGCAGACAACCGCAATGTTGTGCGAGGACGACAAAAATAAAAAACCAAAAAAAAAAAACGGACAACACAAACCAAACACAAAAACAACAAGAGCAAATTACAGCAGCGGACAAACGGACAACAGCAAATATTACGTATACGTGCGTTCAATGTCCTGATGGGGTTGGAAAGCAAGGCCAATAATGCAAAAGGCATTAACAGGCCTGGGCACTGGTTTTCCATAGCAGTTATTGCCATTAACATGGCTTAATTAGCCAACTGGCTGTAACAACACCGGCTTAAAGCATAATTGTAAATATTTCCGGACTTAAACAAACCAGAACAGGTCCCTGAATAATGAAAAGGTCCTGGGGCAGCTAGGCCAGCGATCTGAGGAGAGTTACATAGGATATGGCACTGCGCACAATCTGTGGGGAGAAAAAATGCATTAAATAGAGAATGATAAATATAATATTAATAAGAAAACAAAATACTTTATGTAACCATAAAAAGAATGGTTTTTAATCCAATTATGACTAGGCTTTCTAAAATATTTTAAAGGTGTCTCAAAGTATGCAGTAAAAAGAATTCCTGAATACAAGTTTACTGTTGCATACTTTTAGGCAGATATTTAAATAATTTAATACCAAACAATAATTATTAATTTAAAAAATTAATGCTTCAATTCCAGTTTTAAATGCATCCATATTATTTAAAGAAATATATTTTTTTAATTATTCCATTAGTATTCCTTTTAAGAACCCTTTTCCTACCATGACAAGTGTCTCCCGATTAGCCACGAAGAAGTAACCATCGATGGGGCATCCCCCTCCTCGATCGCATCATGGCAATCTTAAAGACCTCACAAGCTGGTAGTTTTCCCGCAGAAGATGGAGCCAGTTGCTCTCGTAAATGGCCTGGCAAAAAAGCTGGCTCTCCGTATTGACGCTCGATCCGCAGATGCAGTAGATGGAAACCTGACCAATAATGGCTGCCGTGAAAGCAAGTAGAATAGCATGGCTGGCTCTAGAAGATGGGCAGACAGTTGGTAGCACAGGACACACAGATGCAAAGAGGCTGCCACAAACTGGGCGAAAATGAGCGGCCTGAAGTATGCGTTTAAGGAATTTCCCAGTTGTAAGCAGTCCTCATATAATTTAAGTATATACACCAGGTTCTCACGGGTCTCTACAGGACCTTTGCCCTCAAAGGCATCATTTTTTCCCTGGCAATCCTGAAGAGAGCACAAAGATTATGGCTCAGGGAGCAAAACAGGGTATCCACGCAAACGGTGGGCAAAGCCACTCCCAGAGCAGCACTTACATTCCACAAATAGGATAGGGAGTAGTTCAGATATTATTATTTTCCAGGGATACCTAAAATTATGGTATTATTCTGGGATTCTGGGTATACCTTTTCTACAAGCTGGGAAAGGGCAAATCCGGATGCAGTTGATCTGTCCGATGGTAGCTGACCAACATGGACAGAGGAGACATAAGGCAGGCTGAAAGTCCGGCCGTCACAAAACAGTAGCTATATAAGCACTGATAAACTGATCACGATTATTTTCTCTGGATATGATTCTGTCACCGACCAAACATTGATTTTCTAAAAAAAAGAATACTTTTAGGAACTCTTTTAAGAGATTTGTAAAATGATACATTTTTTGGGCACCCATAATATTTCCAAACTAATCGATTGATATGATTGATCTTGATGTAGCTAGTCATTTCTAAATAACTCACCCCTTTGCAAATTCTATGGAACTGCTGTATAAGAAATCTAAATCCTTATGTAGCCAAAGAAAAAATCGATCTTGCAGAGGCCAGCAAATCGACCAGAACCGAGCAGAGTGAGTCGGTCAGTCTATCAACATTCTGGATATTTCGTAGGCCAAAGCGATGGTGAGGGGAAGAAAACTGGCCACCGAGAGGATGCAGCAGATGCTTCGCCGGGGATATCGATGGCTGTCATCGTCCAGCTGTCCAGCAATTCCAGTCCCAAAAGACGAAAGAAAATGGACTGCAGTCGAAGAAACTTGTCCGTCAGCATGTCGAACCGAGTGAAAAGTAGTGAAAAGTGAACGGATCCTTTTATAGAAAGACGAAAGCTCATTAACGGCTAAGTAAAATCAATAACCCATTAAGCCAGTAGCCTCCAATGGTATTTATTATTTAAATTCAAGTGGACAGGACCTTTAACCTTTTCGAGTGGCGATGGCAAAAGAGTCCTTCCCACTGAAGAGACATTCTTGAATGCATCAGCATGCAGATTGTGAGCAGCCCTCCTCAGATGTTTGCACAATAAATTATACTTAATTAAAAACAATTAAAAGCAAATTCCAATTGCAGCCGTCAAGCAGCTCGGCCTGTGGTGCCGCAAACAATCCCTGAGCCACTGCAAATATTTGGCAGCCATGCTAAGCAAAAACTAAAACAAATCCTAGCTGCATTTCAAATGTGAAAACTTTTGTTTGCATCGCTCTCAGCTCCTTCCTCCTTCAGTTTCGAATTGTATGCAGCTGTTTTCGGATTCGTCCAACATTTCAGGGTTTTAATTACTCTTAAGCCCCAGACTTTTACCGGGTATCGTATCGGTGGTATTGTTGTCGTGGTCAAAGATCACAGCAAAAGTAGTTGCTTTCCAGCAAACCAGCTGCCTGCAAACTTTGCTGGCCATCGTTTGGTCGGATAATTTAGCTTCCCGAAAATAAATTAATGCAATTACATGCTCGGCAAATGGCCGGCTGGCAGCTTAAGACTCTGGCCTAAGTGGAGTCATAAAGTACACACAAATTTAGTTCAGGACAAATGCCACAAATGCCAATGCAGCCGACAGCATTATTAATTCGAATGTGTGAATGCCAAAGTGAGCAAATCACTGGTTTGCCTTCGATTCTATTTACTCAATTATTAACCAGCCAGAGTGGGTAATTAATTAAAAATTTTACCTTTCCTAGGTTTTGAAAATGGCAATTCTCTGGGGGCGGAAAGCAACAACTTTGGCCTGGGCACATAAAACAAACATTGACACACTGACCGGGCACCACGAAAATGGAGTTTATATATTTTCAGTAAAACAAAACTTGCTCGAAACGAAACGAAACTCAGCTGGCAGCTGACAGAAGGGGGGAAATGGGGAAAATCTAGGGAGAGGATGGCCAAAAACTGTTGAAGAACTTTTTCTTATTCCTGGCATTGTTATTACCGCGTTGATGCTCCTCGACTGCCGTTTCCAAGGCAGCCGCCTCTCGACGAAACTCGAATTTCCTTTTTACGGAGGCGTGAAATATTCGACTTAAGAACTCGCAAGAATTATAATACTCCAGCCAAAGTCACTTGATAACTATGTTTTTTTGGTCCTAGCACTTATCAGTACATTTGTTTTGAGGTAAAAAGGTGAGTGATCCCGATAAATAAAAAACGAAACATTTGCATTTACAATTAAAACTTTATATTAAGTATATACAAAGCCGCTTTGAATTTTTTTTAGGTAAAATATTATTTGTCTCCTAAAAGTATGCAGTGAATAAGATAGTAGTTTGAATGAATTCAGTGTACTTCAGAGGTAAAATATATTGTTGCATACTTTCAGACAGCTAAAATGTAATATCTGCCAATCTAAAATTAAAAAAACGGAAATCGGTAATAAACTAAACGAAAAATATGAAAATTAACTGTATTAAATATTTGGATGTTTTTTTCAGTGCTATTATAAGGAAAAGAGTGCTAAAGAGTATCGGTAAATTGGTGTTGGACTGGGCTCAACTTGAAATACTTTCCCATTTAGTTGTTGCACTGCCCGGACAGCAGTTGAATCCAAAATGAAATACTTGATTTCAGCCTCCATGGGATTTTGCCTGCAACTCCGGAGGAGCGAAAACTTTGCCACGCTCTCGCAGGAAGTCAACTTGGCAGGGGACTGTGACTGCGACTTGGACTCGGACTAAAACGAAAGAAAGCCTGCGAAAGCAGTTTGCTTAAAATGTTTAGTGGAAAGTGTTTTAAAATACATTAAAAAGTTCACGGCTGCCCTGGCACGCATTGAATTTATGCGAATTTGGTGAACTCCTTGAGTGGAAACTTTTTGCATTTGCTCCTGGCAAAGCCGCCAACTCCACCGCCGCCGCCGCCGCCGCCCCCCAATCAACTTAAATATTTGTTTAGCTCAAGTACTTTTGTGTGGGCCCCCTCCCTATGTACTGTATATATCATTCCACCTTTGTTGGGCATCCAGAATCGTACTTAGACAGTTGTAATTAATGCCCCAGCCAAGTAGAAGGTCTATATCACCGATGGTAACCGTATTCCCTTGCTTTGAGGATGATTTTCCGCCGCGAGCGTGTTTTCATATTTGCTCCTGTCATCATTTAATGAGAGATATTTTATTTCCCGTCTCATATTTATTGGAATATTTCTGGTCTGGTCGGGGGTTGGAGAATCCATTTCGAGATACTTACGTGGGAGCCCCTCGACTTTCAATACCTGTAAATACGGTGGGTTGTGTGCTTCTGTTTATGCCACCATTTGATGTGCTCCAGGAAGAAAACTGTCGAATTTGCAAATGACGAAGCCCTATTTTGATCTCGAGGACTTTTGTCTAGGCCCCGTGAACCATCGCAAATGGGAAAGTATTTTTGCAAAACAAACAAGTCCCAAGTAATTTGTTTTTCTCCCCTCCCCCAGCAGGAAAACCATTTTCGTGGGAAAACAGGCCATCCATGGCCTCAAACCTTAATGTAAATGGTTTATTTTTTTAATTTTCCCCCTTTTTTTGTTTACTACTTTTTTGCTGGGCTAATTTGCGAAAGCTGATGCAACTGTTGAAATAAGGAAATTACATTAACGCCAGTCATTTTTGCGATTGCCATGTTTCATTAATAACAACGCTTGTAAATAATTGTAACAACTACGGCCACAACTATGCTATAAGTCAATTAAAACTGGTGGGAAAATAAAGAAATAAAGCCTGCATTTTAAATGCTCTTCAAAAAAGCAATAAAACGTTTGATTTTGGGACACCAATGCAATTATACAATTGAGGAATACCAAACGATGCATGGCAATAATATTTTGGAAGATAAAATCCAATTCTTTATTTTTAATAATTCAATAATTTTTATCAAGGCCTAAAATATCCGTTTTCCAGCATATTGAGCTTTAAATCAGATTGTGCTATATTTTTAATTATGACTGCGATATGCCACCTATCAACTCTCTGTCGCAATTGTGTATATCGTTTGTATATCCTCTGATAGAGTAAGGCTACGCATGAAGAGGTATAAAACGCATTTAAATTAATAATCAATTTAAAATACAATCGCTTACTGGTTGATTGAGGTGGAATGCGGGGCAGCGACATCAAAACAAATGAGAAAAGGAATTTCATATTGAATTAATGCAACTAATGAATACGGCTCGTGCTGTTCGTGCTGATGTTTTTCAACATCAGATCCCGACGAACAAGGCCCGATAAACGAATCGAAACGAGATGAAAAAATAAAAGAGTTTAATTTAATTTGTGTCAGAACGAAAGAGCCAACAACGACATGGGAAATTGTATTAATCAGGCAAATAAGTGTTCGCTTTATTTTATGAATAATTAAAAATATTTATTGCTCTGCCCGTGGCCGAATGCTGATGAACTACCATGGCCAGCGGCAAATTGACTTTCAGTCAGTTTGCCCACTTGAGGCACAATTGCATAATCAAATCCACAACTATTCAATTATGTTTGTGTCACTCAGTGCGACGACACACGGCCAGCATAGTGTGAGAATAATCGGCCAAGACCCAATCAAAGCCGAATTTAATTGAATTTAATTTAATGAATATCAATATCGAATATTCTGTGTTCTGTGTTCTGTGTTCAAACTCGATTTAATTTACGCTATGGCCCAAAACCAATTCCCCCCAAACAACGGGCCACGACTGAAACGAAGAAGGCCCAAAAACGATGGATGGCCAAAAGGACTCTCGCAGGAACGAAATGGAATGGAGAGACATGCGCCGGTGCTCCTGTTTCCGTTTCATTGCCATCGTTTCCCCCAAAGATATTTCTCTTTGGAAAATGGTAAGAGAGCAGCTAAGAGCACATCCTGGCCAGCAATTAGACATCTGTCAGCGTGTTGACCCAGGAAACACTCGAAGAATTCCCGACAGCAGCACTGGGCACTCCATCATCCCACCAGGACACTCCTATTCCCATATCCCTCCAGGACCCGGCAACTTCACACGATTTTTGATGACCATAATGACAACAATTAAATATAAATCACCATGGAGGAACAACATGCCAAGGATTTACCTTTCCCCGCCATTTCTTTACAGCCACGCACGCATACAATTAGCTTTTATGGCCGCGGGCCCAAAGGAAAATGGCGGCCATGGCCCTGGCCAATGGTAATTTGAAAATATGGTAATTATGAAGCGGCTTTGTATAAGGCAAAAAACAAAAAGAAAATTCTGGTTGGGGAGAGCGAGCTTGAAAACAGGGAAGCCAGAACCTCTGACACCGCCACTGTGTCTGTTCTAATTAGGCGCCCATAAATTGCACCGCAAAACAGGGTGAAGAAAAAACAACCTTCAACAACAAATCCTAAATAACAATTAAAACAATTCTCAAGATTAAAAACACCTTACAGCCAATGCTTTAATATTTTAATTAAAAATTCCTTAGCCTCGACCAGAGCGAGGTGTTGGTAGAAGTGGCAGTACTATGGAAGTTGGGCCCCCTCCATTCTGAAAAGCCCCTTGAGCGAATGAGTGGTCGAGTGTTCCCTGAATGGTCTCTGGAGGCCTATGACTTTGAATTATTGCATGGCGAGTCATAAATTAAGTGCGTGGCCCTCCTGACCCCGCTGAAATGCTGGATGGTGGTATGTTTGGGGCCAGTTGTCGATGGTGGCAGGTGGCCAATCAAGCTCATGCAATCCCATTAAGCGTTTTTAAAGGCTATTCTAAGTTTAAAAATACATTTCATAAAAACTAACACTTTAAAACTTTTATTGGAGTTAGTATTTATGCATATGATTAACAATATTACAAAATTCCAACAGATTTTAAAAATTTGTTAACAAGTGTCTGTATATTTTGGAAAAAACTAACTTATACGTAATTTTCAATCCCATTGTGTTAAAAAAACCTAAAAATTTGGCAATATTATAAGAGGTTAAAATAAAAATACAGATACTAAAATATTGTTAAAAATGTTTGTAAATTTGGATGAAAACTAACTTAATCGGTATTTTTCAAATACCTTTTTCATTATTTGAAGATATGAAAAGCAAATAAATACTTCAGAACATAATACTTTAAGATTTTTTGTATACAAGTAAATACCTTTTTATTTTAAAATATAGGAGCTATTGTTGGCACCATTCTTCTCAAATAACCATGTTGCAAATGGTTATTATTTTATTTATGAACAATTCAATAAAATGTATTGTTTACCTTTAGTTAAATAAACCTTTTGCTATATATATCAACTTTCAAGTACCTTTTGCGCCATTATCGCTGCTCTTTCTCTCGAAAATTCCCTTAACCGAATTTGAAGACAGAAATCGGTGGGCGGAGGAGGATTCCAGAGACCTTTAGACCTTCATAAATAAATGCGGGAAGTTCTTCGCGGGGAGTTGAATCCTTTACATGGAGAAATGGAAATGGAGGATGGAGATGGGGAGTGGCACTTCTCGAGTCGCTGTTGTGGCCGTGCAATCAAATTCAGACATTTGGAGACACTCTTACCGCCCACTTGCGTTGCTTAAGTGTCGTAAAGTCAAGCCAAGGATGCGAGGGAGGGTGGGTTGAAAAAAAAGGGGAGTGGGGTGCAAGGACAACAACAAGTGCGGCTTTTATGATTTATGCAACTATCGCCTGCAGCCAGAAGTGGGTGGGGCAGGACTCCAGGAGAGCCATTGCCGAAATCCTTGAGAGAGCCGCTCGAGGCGCGTAAATTCTTTTCTTGCTCGCCTCGTTTTCCTTTCTTTTTTTATTATATTTTTTTTGGACATACGTCTCAGACTAAGCGGCTCGTGGGGGAAAGTGGGAAAAGCGCTTCAAATTGTGCAATTTTTATGAACGCAGTGGGCGGCGGGGGGCGGCATTCATGAATAAAAGATTTTCCGATTCACCCCGACACCAGAACCAACCGCCTCCTGTCGCCCAATTTATTATGCTGTTGGCCTTGCCGAGTGCAAATAATAAGCAGCAAGTGCACAGCCACGCCCACACAATTGTCGAGAAGTGGGCGGCTGGGGCGGCTAAGAAGGTGTGGCACTGGAGAAGAGCCTCCGAAGGCGGAAAGCCTGCAAAATTAGCAAAGCAAACGCTCGGCTGCAGTTTACTTGCCATTTAAGCGCCGCACTCGACAGCTGTGTTTGTCAGTGGCACTTGCAACCAGCAACCAGCAACCGACTAGAACAACAACTTGCAACCTACTAAAGGAAAAACTGCACACACAAAAAATTTGGACACTTTCAAGCCTACCACATAACAAAGAAAGTTTTATAAAGTAGGTATGTGATAAAAAAAACATTTGACGAAAAATATAATATCTTCCCTACCAATATTATTATACTGATATTATAAAGGCCAAATTATATCCTCCAAGAAAAATTAAATTATTATGATAAAGAATTTGTTATGAACATACTTTGCTTCTGGAAACCCCTTTTCCCTGCCCTCCTTTATAAGAACTCCTAAACCTCACATGATTTAGAGAAGTATTAAATACTTCTTGTTTTTTTAAACATGGAACTTATTCGAATTTACCACCATTTCATTTAAAATTTTTTTGAGTGCAGATCTTGTACCTAGTACAACCTGCAACGACAGCCACAACAGACCAAAAGTTGCACTTGCAGTTTTACTATTTTTCTTCCTTCACCATTGTTTGTCTCTCGAAACCAAAGGGTCGTCTTTGGTCCTAAAGAAATGCATATAAAATATAAGAATACTATGCAAACTTAGGTCGGAGGCTGTATGTTTGTTAGTTCACTTGGCAATTAGAGAGTTCAAACAACTAAGAAAATTGCTATTACGATAAATCCTGTCGGAAATTAAAATAGGTTTAGGCCAAGGCCTGCAAATAATAATTACACTATGTAAAATAAAAAAACATACAAAATAGGATGGCAAAAAACATTAAAAAAGCCCAGCTTATAGGTCAGAAAAACCCCTACATCATTAGAAATATATCGGAAAGTTGAAACTTTAAAAAGGTTTTAGTTAGTTAACCCTCTTTTATATATAAAATAAGAATAAAAATAATAAATAAGAACTCCAAAAGTACAGTGACGTTTACCTTTATTAAACGGACTTCGTTACAAAAAAGGGGGGTCGCGATTTATACAATGGCCATTTTGTGTAAAAGTCTAAATTGGTGGAACAAAAATAGGGTCAGCCGTTGTTTGGGACTCAACTACTGTCTAGGATTGGATTAGTTTGATTAATCGGAATCGGAGCGAGCCGAGGACTTCTTTGATTTTTTATGCTTGCGCTTCTTGTCGCGATGTCGATCCTCCGTGCTGGACTCGCGTTTGTTCCGGGTGGCGGTTGCCTCGGTTTTGGCCTCGCTTCCGGCTGCTGCATCGATTCCCGCTCCCGCCGAGCCCACTCGTTCCTCGTCCTGCAGCTTCTTGAGGGTTTCGGCCTTCAGGCGCTCCAGTTCGTTGAGCTCACGGGTGGTACGTTCCTTTTCCATGTCGTCCTGGCGCTGTTTCTCCAAACGCCGTTCCTCCTCTTTGGCAATCTCATTGCGCATGTGCTCCTTCATCAGCATCGCGGCCTCCGCACGCTTCTGCATCTTCTCACGGGCCGCCTTCTCGCGATCCTCGTCCATGGGCAGAGCGGAGGTGAGCTTGGGCAGCGGACTGCGTGAGCGGCGGCGGCGGAGCGACTGGTTGAGGGACTGCGACTGCGCGACGAGCTGTGCCGGCGTCCGCGGCTGCGGCTGCGTCTGTTTCCGGGCGAATCGCGGCGTCTCTGCCATCCGACTCCTGTCGCCTTCTTCCAGATGACTCCTGGCGCCTTCTAGCAGGCGAATCCTTGCGCCTTCTGTCTGGTGTTTCCTTGCGTTTTCTTTCAGGCGAGTCCTTACGGCGTCTGCCTGGTGAATCTTGTCTTTTGGCCAGGGAATCCTGTTGCCCTCCGTCGGCGGACTCTTGTCGCTTCCTGCCCGGTAAATCTAGTTTTTTGGCAGGAGAATCATGGCGGTTTTTGTCTTGTGAGTCCTGACGCTTTCTGCCTGGCGAATCTTGTCTTTTCACAGGAGAGTCCTGTCGCTTTTTGTCAGAGTCCTTACGCTTTCGGCCTGGACTATCCTCTCGCTTTCGACTTGGAGAGTCATCGCGCTCTTTTCTGGTGGATTCCTGTGGCTTTTTGCCTTCGGAATCTTCTCTTTTTTTATTGCCGGAATCCTTGCGCTTTTTACCAGGGGAATCGTCGCGGCTCCTTTCGCGTGAATCGTCACGCTTTTTGTTTGAAGAAGCCTCTCGCTTCTGTCTTTTGAGTCGTCTCGCTTTCTTTCCACGAATCTCGTCGCTTTCGTGGTGGCGAATCTTGACGCCTTCTTCCGGCGAATCCTGACGCTCCTGCTCTGCGAATCCTGACGTTTCCTGCCCGGCGACATCTGACGCTTGTGATTGGGCGAATCCTGCCTGCGTCCCTGACTGCGGGAACGCTGTTGACGGCGGCGATCTCCGGCGGGAGGCCCCTGCCCTGATTGGTGACAAGGGAAATCGATTGCGGTATTCGTTATCCTGTGAGCGCGAACGGCGGCGTCGATCTCTGTCCGCAAACGGATTTCGGCGATTCCCGCGGTTGAACTGATTTTGATTCTGATTCTGGTTGGATTTTGGCCTGGACGCCTAGCGGGCGAACGCTGTGGCGACGAGGAGGAGAATGGCGACGCGGGCTTCGAGAACGACTGCGCTTTAGTTTGGCTTTCTCATCGGGTTGCGATCGTCGCGTTTTGAATTTCGATCCCTGCTAGTCGATGGCTCTACTTTGCTCTCCTGCTTGGTGGGTGGTTTCACCTGTAGCTCTCGTCCTCGGACTCGGTTTCTGTCTGCTGCTCATAGTCCAAAGCATTCATATCCATCGATTTGCGGCGCTTAGAGGAGTCATTCCTTCTCGCTGGCCTTCTCCTTCTCCTCTCTTGGGTTTGCCGCGATCTGATGTTTCCTTCGACTTGTTTTTGTGTTCCGGAGATAATTTCTCTGGCGTCATTTTCCGCCGTAAGTGCTGGCATGGGTTAGCTCAAAGAAGGACTGCTTGGGATTCTTGGTGGCCTCTTCGTGGCGACGTTTTCTCTCGTGCTCGCGACGCTTACCTCCTCCTCGCGCATCTTGCTTCCTCCTCAATGCGCTCCAAGTCAGACAACTTAATGGTGCGCTTCTGGGCATGCTTCCAGTGGGGTGGCGTAGTGCTGCGCGATCGGCTGCGCGAAGGTGTGCGGAACCGCTGCAAAAAGTATTTAATTTTTAATTTTATTATGTGGACATATGTGGGGGTTTAAACTTACAAACACCCGCGACCTTTGACAATACGTCCGCTGCGCGATGTGGGCGGTGCCTGTTTCTTTGACCAACCAAAGTTATTGCGATTGCGATCTCTATCCTGATCCTTCCCGCGATCGCGATCGCGATCTTGTCCCCGACCTCCACGATCTTCCCGATCTCGGGATCGCGATCTCTCACCGCGCATTAGGAATTTGTTTGATACCTAGATAAGTATAAGATAATATATTTATCGTGGCAAATTAAGTAGTTATGTAAATGCAGATGCAGATAGCGGAATCGGCATAAGTTTGCAGATTAGAAAATTAGAATGTGCTTTATAAGACACTCTAAGCCTTTAGTTAAGGTTTATACCGAACCTCTGGTATCTCGTTAGGATCTATCTTGGTTATTGTGACCAGTGGATGGAGCTCCCCTTCCTCGCGCTCCCCGTCATCTTCCTGAGGATTCTGATCATGCTTTCCATTACCGCGTCTTTTATCATTGCTATAAGAAATGTAAACAATTATAATACATAATATGCATAAGGTTATCGATCAAGGCATACTCTTCGCTATCGCTGGCCTTCGACTCCTTCCGATTGCGCTTTTTCTTTTTTCCTTTCGCTCAGCCTTGACCTCAGCCTCACTTTCTTCACTGTTTGAGTCATCTGAGACCGTAGAGCGCCTCTTTCGCTTCTTTTCCTTTTTGGCTAAGAGATACAATACATGATAATTACAAAAAGTAAACCAAAGTAGACTCCTCTCGTACCCTTGGTCTGCCTAACCAGTTCACCGCAGTTGGCTATAGCGGCATCCTGTAGCGGCCGCGAGTTCCGATCGATGGGCAGATCCTCCAATTGACGCACCAACTCCTGACCGGATATAACTTGCCCGAATACAACATGGATACTGCAACAAGGAAAAAGAAATTAACATTCGGATCTATGGGTTTAATATGGCCAACTTACTTGTCCAAATGTGGCGCAGGCTGTGTTGTACTACAATGAGAAACAGAAGAAGAGAAAAATATTCTTTACACTTTGGCTAACTGGTTGTTGGGCTGCAGTAGGCAGTTGTAGTTGTAATCGATGTTGTTGGCTGTTCAGTTGTTCTTGTTGTTGTTGTAGAATGGTGGTTGGTGGAGGCAATGTGATGTGCAACAAAGTTAAAAGGTTTCAAGGTGTAGCAGAGGTGGCACACTGGATTTGGGCAAGCCACCAACCACAAGAGCCGCTGCAGTTGGCCATGACCAACACGGAGCGATCATCGTCATCTGGCAGATCCAGCTAGAGACGCCGATCCCGGCAAAGATCCAGGATGAGAGCCGAGAGAGATAGAGACACACACAGAGACCGAGGACCAAGGACCAAGGACCAAAGACCAGGGAGGAGAAAGACCAGATCCTTCTTTCACTTGGTATTTGGACCCACGGGCCGAATGCATTTGGGCTGGTGGATGGCGATGCATCAGCCGGTGGTGGACAGATGGATCTGTCCGCTGGTCAGTGGGACGCAGGCACACTTTACTGCCCACGGGCTACGGCTAAATGGCAATAGATTAATGAACAACAACAGACGTTTAAATATAGATAAAATAGAAGACGAATAGAGTTTATCGGAATTGTCGGTGCCTGAAACAGAACTGGAACTAAATTTACGAAGGGGTTAGTCCGGACTCAGCCGGTTACGGCCCTCGATGGAGAGAGCACTTACATAAAGAACTGCGAGCCATTGGTGTTCTTGCCCCGGTTGGCCATCGACAGCAGGAAGGGACGATCGTGCTTCTTCTCGAAGCACTCATCTGAAATGAGAAGAAAGGACATTTTTATCATATAATAATAACAAAGTCTATTGCCTAAAAATTGCATATTACAAAGTTGAAGATCTAAAATTGATCTTAAAAATCATAAGCATGTGAGATAAAGTAACATTCCCATTTTTGTACAATTTATTCCATAAAGCCGTTTCTAATTGCATTTTGGACCTATTTTTTTCTTAGCTTTAGCATATAAGTATATTAAATGGAACATATGCAAAAATGTAAATATAAATTGTGTCACTATAAAATATGAGAACTTATTTTTATCTTTTATATTCAACGTGTTTATTCTTTAGCACATGTGTTTGTAAATAAATAATTGTACATAAAGCCAATCTAAACTTTTTCCCCAAATGTTACCTTTCTAGCCTCGTTAAATTTAAGTGGATGATGGATAAATGAGTATAATTGGATGGAAAGTTTTAAAATTTTCATGAGGGGGATGAACTTCGTATGGTTATGGACACTAACTTTGATAAGTGCCCTATCAAGCAGAGGGACCCAACATACAGTTGGTTTATAGAATTTAATGGATAAAAACATGTTTGCTTTATTTACATACATATATTTACACATTTCTGGCTGATAAATGGTTGTGTTATTTTGTATGAATTACTGGCTTTAATAACCGGAATATCCATGGAACTTCTCAATCACCTTTACTTTTATGCACAAAGATCAAATTCAAAACAGGGTTTTTTCTAACATTAAAAAAGAGTATAATAGTTTTACAAGATTTGGGGAGGTATATGTAATAATAACGAAAAATGATATCCATTATCATACCGTCGTGGTATTACAACGGAACTTTTAAAGCTTTTTCCTATAGCCGTCAAATAAGTACAGTCGTACCGCTTACCAAAAAAAAAAGACATTTTCGCTTTTCCTTAGAAGGGTATATAAACCTCTGCTAGCCAGATTTTATTTTGAGTTCGTTTATCAGATACCCACTGTATTGATTTTTTCCCCCACCACAAATGTCGGCCAATATGTATGTATGTACCGTTGAACTATATGTATGTACATGCAGTTTTCGGCACCCGGAACTCACCCTCGAATGTTCCGCCGTAGATGGACTCGCCGCCGGTGCCGTTGCCCGCGGAGAAGTCGCCCGCCTGGACCATGAAGTCCTTGACCACCCGGTGGAAGATGACCCCCTTGTAGTGGAGCTTCTTGCCGGTGACCAGGCCAAGTCCCTTTTCGCCCGTGCACAGGGCCCGGAAGTTCTCGGCCGTCTTCGGCGCCACATCGCCGAAGAGCTCGAAAACAATGCGGCCCACGCCCAGGCCGCCCAGCGAAATGTCGAAAAAGCATCGCGATCGCGTGGCACTCGCGTCGCGCTTGTTCACCGTCATTGTTTCCGCCGCTTTTTCCCACTAAATGCAATTTAAATACGTATTTATTCTCTTCCCGTTTTCGCGTTGCACAATGTTGGCGTTGCCAACTCGCTTCGAAATGCCAAGGGTGTGCAGTGGGTCGTGCGTGGTGCGAAAAAAAAACCAAGCCTGGCAAAAAATACTGACAAGTTGTTCCTGGTGTTACCTCAACAGTTTGAATTTCAGAAAATCAGAGTTGTCACCATATGCCATTTCAAAGCCATGACACCGTTTACACAGAGGGGATTTCCGCTTCAGCGACTTTTTCTTCCATAAGAAATACACGTGCTAGAAAGGGAAGAGGAAAAAGTCGCTACAACTCGCTTTTCGATCCAGTATCCAGTGCTTTTATTCAGTATTTTTAAGAGCTTAGGTAATTTTTGTACTTGGCGTTTCGTAAATTTTTTATGAGGTCTTCATGAACCTCATACATGACGAGATACAAGTCAAAGGAGGAGATAGTTAACCGCCTACCACTTCCTTTGTGACTCGAGGGCTTTTAAATTCTATACGGATCTACGTTCTGTAGGTGTAAGGCCACACCGACCAATGTTTTTTTCCCAATGTAATTTTGTTGGGTATCTTTAAGACACGAGAGCATTGATAAATAAAGTAAAGTCCTTACCTTAAAAATAGACGGTATATTATTATCTTGTTTTTTTAGATCGAACAGCCGACAATGGCGCAATGGTTAAATCAATCGAGCACCGACATGGGACGCAAAATGGTTAAATCAGTACTGTATACTTGTAAGAATGAAAATTATATAAAAATTATTTTACTTCTTTTACATTTTCTTTAAGTGAATATAAAAAACTTTTTTTTACTTTAACAACGACGTAATTATTATGATCTCTAGATGATGATTGCACTATTGCAACCAGATATAGGTTGCACTGCTGAAAGCTTTTTCTGTTTCAAATTTTAAGTTTTAAAAAACACATTCTAGTCAAATAAAATGTGTGTTTGCATCCCTCGCTCGAACGGTCACACCAAAGCCAATGTTTACATGGAGACTCGTGTGTGGCTGTAACTGCGTGTGCGTGTGAGTGAGAGCGGGGGCGGCGCGTGTGTGAGTGCGAGCGGGAGAGCAAGACGAAGACGTGTTCTTTTCGGCCAAGCAGAAAGCAAATAATTGTTTTATCAGAGAAAAACAAAAAAATTCCCAGTAAGTGTCGCGATAAAAACACGACAATCGCATTGCAGCCGTCGCAGAAGCGAAGAATCGGCCTCAGCTGACCGGAAAGTTAACGTTGCGACGTGGAAAATCACGAAATCATCAGCGAATCAACAGAATTTCAACAGAATGTGTGGCATATTCGCTTACCTAAACTACTTGACGCCGAAGTCGCGACAGGAAGTCTTGGATTTCCTGCTGCAGGGCTTGAAGAGATTGGAGTACCGCGGCTACGATCCACGGGCATAGCCATCGATGCCCTGAATGCCGGGGAGGGGGAGTCCTCCATTCTGCTGGTCAAGCGGACCGGGAAGGTGAAGGTCCTGGAGGATGCGGTGGCGGAGGTGTGCCTGGGCCAGGACTACTCCATGCCTATAGACACTCACATTGGCATTGCCCACACGCGCTGGGCCACCCACGGTGTGCCCTCCGAGTCAACTCACATCCCCAGCGATCCGATGAGGACAACAGCTTCGTTGTGGTCCACAATGGCATTATCACGAACTACAAGGATGTCAAGACGCTGCTGGAGAAGCGGGGCTATGTCTTTGAATCCGACACGGACACGGAGGTGATAGCCAAGCTCGTCCACCACCTGTGGCAGCAGCATCCTGGCTACACCTTCGGCGAGCTTGTGGAGCAGGCCATCCAACAGCTGGAGGGCGCCTTTGCCATTGCCTTAAGTCCAAGCACTTCCCGGGCGAGTGTGTTGCCTCCAGAAGAGGTTCCCCACTCCTGGTGGGCATCAAGGCCAAGACCAAGCTGGCCACGATCACATACCCATTCTGTATGCCAAGGCCACCGGCCACATGGCCAGCCGCAGCAGCAGGCCTTCCAAGTACTTCCCGCGGCGACTGCAAAGCGGAGTTTCAGCCTTTGGAGCGCAAGGAAGTGGAGTACTTCTTTGCCTCGGATGCCTCGGCTGTGATAGAGCACACAAACAGGGTGATTTACCTGGAGGACGACGATGTCGCGGCCGTTAAAAACGATGGCACGCTCAGTATCATCGCTAAACAAATCTCTGACGATCCACATGCCAGGGAGATCCTCACCTGAAGATGGAGATCCAGCAATCATGAAGGGCAACTACGACTACTTCATGCTCAAGGAGATCTTCGAGCAGCCGGAATCGGTGGTCAATACCATGCGTGGCAGGATGAGGTTCGATACGCAGACCGTGGTCCTGGGTGGCATTAAGGAGTACATACTGGAGATCAAGCGTTGTCGCCGCTTGATGCTGATAGCCTGTGGCACTTCCTATCACAGTGCAGTGGCCACCAGGCAGCTGCTGGAGGAGCTCACCGAACTCCCGGTAATGGTGGAGCTGGCCTCCGACTTTCTGGACAGGAATACGCCATCTTCAGGGATGATGTGTGCTTCTTTATCTCCCATCGGGAGAGACGCGGATACTCTGATGGCCTGAGGTACTGCAAACAGCGAGGAGCCCTCATCGTGGGCGTGACCAACACGGTGGGCAGTAGCATCTGCCGGGAGTCGCACTGTGGCGTCCACATCAACGCTGGACCCGAGATCGGTGTGGCCTCCACGAAGGCCTACACTCTCAGTTCATTTCGCTGGTTATGTTTGCTCTGGTCATGTCGGAGATCGTCTGTCGCTGCAGCAGCGGCGTCTGGAGATCATCGATGGCCTGTCGCAGCTGGACAAGCACATCAGGACCGTCTTGGAGCTGAACTCGCAGGTGCAGGAGCTGGCCAAGGAGCTGTACCAGCACAAGTCGTTGCTCATCATGGGCAGGGGTTTCAATTTCGCCACCTGTTTGGAGGGAGCACTGGTAAGGATTTGGACTTAAGGAGCTGGCATGGTTAAACATCAACTTTTGTTTCCGTTTTAATTCAAGAAACAAATATTACTCACTTCTTAATAATTTGATAACATCTTATGATAAAACTAGGTGGAAAAACCCAGTGTCAACAATTTAATTACTTGTTTACTGCAGCATAATAATTGAGGTTTCTCTGTATAATGCTGAATTTATTGAAGTGTGAGATTATCTGGGCACCAGAATTTATCTAAACTATCCATTTTTTCCCATGCTAGCTCTGTAAAAAACTAAATATACATTCAAACTAATAACTAATTTTGCCTTACAGAAAGTCAAAGAGCTGACCTATATGCACAGCGAGGGAATCCTGCTGGAGAATTGAAGCATGGACCCCTGGCCCTCGTGGACGACGAGATGCCGGTGCTGATGATCGTCCTGCGGGATCCGGTGTACACCAAGTGCATGAATGCCCTGCAGCAGGTCACGTCCCGCAAGGGCAGGCCGATCCTGATCTGCGAGGAGGGCGACAACGAGACGATGTCCTTCTCCACGCGATCGCTTCAGATCCCCAGGACCGTGGACTGCCTTCAGGGCGTGCTCACGGTCATTCCCTCCAGCTGCTGTCCTATCACATCGCCGTGCTCCGCGGCTGCGACGTGGACTGCCCCAGGAATCTGGCCAAGTCGGTGACGGTGGAGTAGGCAACCACAAATGTCTGGCTTGGCCGCATCAAGAATTCCATTTTAGTATCTGCCTGAAAATAACAAACCCTAGGATTAAGTTGAAATCTTTGGTATTTTCGCGGTTTGAAAACAGAAAACAATTACAATTAACCCGCTGTGCCCCTTCCGGTGGAAGCCGGTTCTGTTAACCCCCCGCATTTTATAGTCTGTACTGACCCCTTGTGTTGTGAAACTATTACTTTTTGTGAATGTGCAATTGAAATATAAATATTTCCAGATTTTCTCTAAAATTGTTTTATAATTGAGCGGGGGTATGTGGGTGAATTTACGATTTATTTGTGTATTTCTTTTTCAAACATTTGAAAATTAAAAGGTAAATATACTTGAAGATTGAAATGCAGATCTGTATATTTTTGCAAACATTTTTTTAAAGATTATACAATTAGACTTAATCTTCAATTAACGAAATCTCTTATCTTTATTATGGATTATATATGTATAATATTTTGATATATTAAAATCTACAATCTATATATAAATATATTTTACAAAAACGAGTTAATTGAATAATTAAATATATATTTAAATAGTTAATAAAATTATATTTTAAATTTAAAAATACGTGGTCTGGAAATCCACGTCACGTTACCGCTGTAATACGTAAGAGCCCGGATCTTACGTTTAGTTGAACACGTTGTAATAACTACCGAAATATCAAAATTAAAAACCAAAATTATGATTTTCTCAATTATTTTAATTTATAGAATAATTTTAAACTAAATTTACGTTAAAACAAAAAAAGGCTTAAGACCCTAAACGACTGTAATCGATATATCACATAAAACTAGATTATATTTATATTTATATTTAAGCGAGTAAATGAAATAATATAAATTATTTTTTAGCTAACCGTTTACCTTTAAAGAAATCTTAAAACCTTAATAATAGAATATAATTAGCAAAATCAGTTGCGTTACGAATTCGCCAGCCCTGAGAATCGCAGCCATCGCCACAGGCGATATGTATCGCAGCGCAACGCGAACGAAATGAACAACAACCCTGCTCTTTTTCTTTTGGACCCGTAGAACCACATGTCTGGTAACCGATTTTGATTTTCTTTTCGGCGGTATAATGCTCCAATTAATTGATTAATTGCGGTTAATTGACAACACCAGTGAACGGCGAAAGATCGGTGCGACCAGAAACGAGTCGAGTGTGTGTGCGATTGGCAAAAAATCGAGATCAATAATATTCGTAACGTTCTGCCCACCAGCGCGTGAGTGAGTGCGAGCGAGAGGCAACCAGTTTAGTGCGAGTGCGAGCAGTGCGAAAGTGTGTGTGCGAGGAAACCCGCAAAAGCAAAAGGAAAGCAACAATAACAACACACGCACGCACACACACACCCACAGATAAATTCACACGCGGAGCGGAAAGTGCGTAGTGAACATACATACGAAAAAAAAGTGGGAGAGAGAGATCAGAATTAAATCAAATTCTGATTCTGGCGTTCAGTTCATTTTCTGGTGCGTATTTAAATCAAAACCTATGCTGGTGTGTGTGACCGCGTGCATCTTTTTGAAATTCGAGGCGAGTGCAGGCAAAATCAGCTGTTTTGTAGTCCAAAACCAGGGCGGCACTAACAACAATGCAGGCCGTTAGGAGAATGCATTTGTTATTGCATAATATTTGGCACAGGGAAACACAAGTTTGTTGTTGCACCGCAGAGTATAGCAACAACAAGTGTTGTTTATTCTACATTGTTTACTATATCTGGCCTTTTACACCCCTTAATTTCCTGTCACAAACGGCTAACGTTAAACGTAATGTGATAAACGTAAGGCTGCCTGACAAGTGGCCAGCACCGTTAGCCAGCCCTGGTCGCGTAGCGTTGTGTGTAGCCTCTTCTTCTTCCTGTTCGTTCCTACTCTTCTTCCTCTTCCTCTTGTGGTGGGGCAAAAATCTAACCTCACTTCTTCTTCTTCTTTTGAACACTGCTGTGTGGCTGCTGCATAATAATATAATACCTCTCGATTCTCAACGATTGGTCGTGCCCTCGCTACGGATTTTCTCCGCTCCTCTATAGTATATAATCGTGCAAAATCGGTGGCAGTAAATTCAATTCGCCAAAGCAGCGTGACAGCCACACAAGAAATCAAGAAAATCAGGAAAAAAGGCCGCTGGGGAGAGGCTTTTTCCGATGGCCAGTTCTTAAAAAATCGCCGCACTCCTCGGGAGGCTTTTCTGCAGTCCCCAGAAAAATAAATCCCCATTGAGAATATTATCACAAGTTCAAAGTGCAGTGTATGTGGGTGTGTTTGTGTGTTGTAATAGTTGCATTAAGATTGAGTATATAAATATTATTGCGAGATGGACGAACTTGAGATTAATCGCCGTAATTGAGCAACAAACACCTCGAGTTCGCTAAACTCGCAATCTTATAGAAAAACCACTAGTAAATACAGTAGAGTCAGGCTTTAAGGGAATTTCCGTAGTTTGAAGAGAGTAGTTCACTTACTTAAAGTTCCGTAACATGAGATACATTACGCTTTATATGGATTTTATTCAAGCTGTGCTTTCAACTATTACTACTACTAGTATTATCATATTTATTATCTCTCCAGAAAATTTAAAATATATGCACATGTTTTATAATATGAAATATTTCTCATTAACGATTTAACTAAGTATTAAAACGTGTTATAATGAAGTTCTCGGAAATACAGTCAGTAAACTGAACTCTCCCCTGAAACACTGCCATTTCCAATAAAAAGTTTAATATGTCTAAAGTCAAGCCATAAAGAAAATTTCTTAAAAAGTTTATTACCCTTTAATGGACTCATCTTTATATTATATTATGATTAGAAGACTTATTCATTAAGACAGAAGCTTTTATTGATTTATATTTGTATTTTCCTTATAAAATTGTGAGGATTGTGTAAATAGATGACCTAATTAATCGATTATGCCCACAGAATATTCATATGCTGATAGGACTAACAAAACTTTGTATCTAACGACAAACTAACCGGATTTATCCTTCTTACTCCTGCAGTTCGGAAGCCGATCTCTCGAGCAACCGCATCCCGTTGAGCAGGCAAGGAAGCAGCCAAGAGTTTCCCCTGACCCGACAACGAGGATCAGCCGCTGACGAAACCGGAGCAGGAGCAGCGGATTTGCTGCCCACTCTGGAGAGAAACCGGAGTCGAAGACACCGCAGGAGTAGCAGCCACAAGTGAGGAGCATGTCCGGCAAGGAGGAGACGCCGTCCACGGGAGGAGCCGCTCCTGTGGCCACCGTCGCCGCTTCGGGCAGCGCCGCCACCACCTCGTATGCCAATGTGGTGCAGAACCTGGACACCAAGAAGGCCACCACCGGCAGCAGCAGCACCACCACCACCGTGGACAACAAAGAGAACCAGCCCAATCTGAAGAGCTTCAAGTCGTGGAGCGAGGAGGCCGCCGCCGCCGAGGCAGCCGCCGTTGGGGAATCCCCGCTGGCCAGCAGTGTTAGTCTGGCCCAAACGGGGGAAAAACGCGCCGCCGCCTCGGGAGGTGATAACACCGCCGAGAACTCTTCGGAACTGGACGATAACAATGACTTTGTGCCGGTGCTATCGCACCATCGACGCGATCGCAAAAAGGCGCGCAAGGAGAAGCCGCGCGATCAACAGCCGACCGGAGGACGTGGCGATGGTCAGAAATCCCAGCAGGCTGGTGGTGGCAGACGCATCCCCGGCACCTCCGATCCCGATCGCAAGCAGACGGTGAGGTCGCGTGCCCCACGAGGCGGAAGCCCCGCAAGGCTGCCACGGGACTGTTGCTGCTGCAGCATCCAATGCTGGAGGAGCTGCAGCCGCTGGTGCTGCCGCGGGCGGACCGAAGGTACACAAGGATCGCAAGGACACCTCGCCGAGTGCCAGCATCGAGGAGCCGGAAGCAATGGGAGCGGCAACGAGGCCAAGTCCGGCGACGGGGACCAGCAGGCGGGCGAGAAGGGGGCAGCCGGAGCAGCTCCGCCGCCCAAACGATTCATTGCCGCACCACCGCCCAAGGTCAACGCCTGGAAGGTAAGTTATTAAATCATATTCTATTGATTTTACATTGAATCCTTAAGGGGAATGGGTTCTATTGGAGTATTGATTGATTGAAAAAGTTTTATTGGGTTGAGACTTACGACTTTTGTATTAATAGGCATTAAAAAGAATATGTAAATTAGATTATGAGATCATAGTATCAGAAATTATTCTTATAGGTGTAGAGTGTATACTTTATTATGACTTGGGATTGACAGATTGTATTTCATTTGGCATGTAACATGGTATAGTAACCAGTTTAAAAAGTGTCATCTAGAACAATGAACCAGATTAGAAGCGGAGACATTTGCATTTGCAAAAAAAGGGTAAGCCTAAACCAAATATTGCGAAATACAAATAGAAAGCTCTGTAAAAATGGATTGTTCTAGAAACTACAGCAAAAAAGGTTTCAACCCTTTATTGCATTCAGTGAAGTGGAAATGTTTATAAAGACTTGGTTTCTAAGAAAAATTAACAGAATACATAAGAAATCTGGGAAATGTAACAAAAACATAAAGCTCAAGATAAGGCTAGTCTCATAATTTGAAAAACTATGGTATGATATGGTAAATTCAGCCCAAAAATGAAGTGCACGTTTTTGTTGTTACTCGTATTTCGGTCTCCCCTTCAATTTGTTTTTTGTCCAAATTGCGTCTTAAAAATGATGACCATGTATGTATGTATGCATGACCACTATTTCGTTGTACATACGTGTGTATGTGTGTTTGGTTGTTGGTAAACAAATGTGCGTAGAATGGCGGAGACGAAGAGAGGCAGCAAAGCGGGGCGGCTGATAAACGAGAGTGCGAGGCGTTATGACAACAAACACGCGGCGCAATGGAAACACGTTTTCCGCTTTTTGTTGTGGTTTTTCCTGCCGTTATCATCGTTATGCTAATAATACCAACAACAGAAGCAGAGATTACAAAATTGTATCTCATAGATACACAATTGCAGGTTGCATAATATCTGGCAAGCAGTGTGTGTCATCAAAGCAAAACAAAGCGAAACACGAGAATCGCAAAGCGAGGGGAAAAAACAAACATTTAATTGCATTTATTTTTATTTATTCCTGGCTGTTTAATATTACGCAATGTCAGCGAAAATTGCTGCCGGCGTTTTTGCGCTTTCTTAAAAAACGAAAAGGTTCTTTTTTGTTCTGCAAAAACAAACGTTATTTGGGTTTACAGTGAGCCCTCTCTAAAGTTAACTTACTCTC